CGCTCAGCAAAATCAAATGGAAAAGAAACAAAAGCAAAAATAATATAGAGCAGCTGCTTGCCCAGAATCTAATCAATTTGAACGAAAATATAGAGGAGATCCGGAACAACAGCTGTTGTGTGTTGCTTCTCCATTGTTTTGTATCCAATAGATACTATATATGTGTATCTCATAATTTGTAGGGGTTATGCGAAGCGTTTACCTGCTCTCGAAACGGCTCAATTGTTCTCAAAAGGATGCCAGTGCCGCTTGGAAACCGGTTTGGTTCCCAGATTTATTTGTTCAATCTTTACACCTGCAGAGATACAAATACACGCAGCAGTCAGAGATTAAGATACATAAAATGTTCGACCTGCAATTACCACAGAATTGTTGCCACATCCATCTATTATGCAGGTTGGCCCCTCTAAAAAGTAGATTTTATTATTTATTATCACAAAATAATTTAGCCGAAAATCATATTTGTATTTGAATTGCAACGATTGCCATTTAAAAAGGGCTATACCATTTTTGCGCATTGCCCTTGTTAAATATTCATCGTTCATTTTCCGATTCTGTGTACTCGGGGACTATAATAACAATGAATACAAATTAAAGACCATCATCAGACGCATTATGATGAGTGCGTATTCATTCAACAGACTACCAAATGAATGGAAAGCGGCTTAATAATTATATGACGAGTGGGAAATTTAAATGCAAAAGTAAGCCAAGGAGAAAATAAATATATTTAGTAAGAGAAGTCAGGAAAATTGTAAAATAAAGCTTAATAATTCTGAAAAATGGACACCAAATATATTTAAATAATTTTGTTACTATTACAAAAATACAGAAATAGTAAATAAATTAAAAAAAAATCAAGCTTACTCTTTTTTAAAACTTACTATAAATATTAAAGCTTTATAAATTATTACAGAAATAGTAAGTAATATTTTGGTATTTTAAATAAATTTTTTAATTTTCCCTAGTTTTTCCATTTATTTAGTTTTCCCTTTACCAATTTGTTTGTACCCTGTTTTTCCCTTTGCCAATGATTTGTTGCCTATTCTTGTGCGCGCTGCTAATTTACGAGGCTAATTTTGCTGCGGCAACTTATTCATTGCACTGCACTTGACTGACTAAGACTTGCCTTTTACCCCCTCAATCCCCCCTTACCCCCTTTTGTTTTGTTGGCCATTTCCTGTCACGTCTCTGACAGCAACAAAAACACAACAAAACAAAACAAAAAGGGGCAACAGAAACAGCAGCTCGAACTGGTCAAAAGAATTTGCAAGGAAAGTTTCGTTGGCTTAAAGGAAAAAAAACCAAGAGACAGGAAAAACGGGGGGTGGTGAGGGAAAGTATGCCAATTGCCAGGGTCAGGGCCTAAAGAAGAAGAAGAAGCTGTAGAAAAGGAAGATGAGCGGTAGCCAAGGTTTCCAATCTATCTTTCAGTTTCCCTGCAGCTGTATAAAGCGGAAAGTTTATCGAATTATGTGCAACAAAGTGATGAGGGAAGATGGTCGGTTGGGTCAAATGGGAAATGGCTAGCCAATCACCTAAGTGATTATCCAGTTCAGCCGTCTGACAGCCGATATCTCATTTAGCTCCTCGGGATAATCGTTAGCCGATTACGAAAAATCGCATTTATTACTTGTCAAGTTTCAATGAAATAATAATAGGAACTTTTGATGTTTTAGATATTGATATTGATATTCTTATAGATACTGATAAAGATATTCATATTGATATTTTTATAGATATTGATAAAGATATTTATATGGATATTGATAAAGATATTCTTATAGATATTGATAAAGATATTCATATAGATATTGATATAGATCAAAAGTGTTTATGTTCAAAAAAATATAAATATTTTTGTTTTTAATTTACTTATATATTTGGAATTTAATTCTTAACTTCTCAGATAATTGCTAAAATCTCGAATGAGTTCCAAATCTAAATAATAATTATTTGACTAATCGGAAAACCTTGCATCTCTGTATTTTCCCCAGCCAACGAGACCATTTTCTCTGGCTAATGCAATTATTGGCAGACGCACAAGTGGACAGGAGACAGGCGACAGGCGACAGGAGGCGAAGGGGAGGATAATGAGCTGGAGTTTGCTGGCTTATTTGCCAAAGGAGATCATCGCAAATGGGTTGGCAGCCCGTTAAAAAGTCAGCTTTCAATGGCTCTTCTCCGACGTCTGTCTCCTCTTAGTCATCCTGCAGAGACTCCTCTTAATTTCACCCCCTTCCCCTCCCCCACACACCTTCTGCCCTTTGCCCCCTTTATCCTTGACATCTTTTTGTCTCATTAACATTTGCGCCACACAATCAACGGCGGGCGACGAGACTGGACAGCGTTTTTTTCCACCGTTGTTGCGTCTGTTGTCTTTTTTTGTCTGTATCTTTCGCCGTTGTTGCATCTCCTCCGTGACACTCTCTTTCTTCTCGCCCCGCTCCCCACTTTCTCCGGGGTAATTCTTCTCCACCTCGGTTGGATAATGTCCAAAGTGCATAGTGGTGCAAAACCTGCAGTAACAGAAATTTTTAAAATATAGTTTAGACCACAAAATTTGACATGAAAAAATTTTAAAAATCATGCAACCATTTGTTAATTATATGAAGAAAAGATTTATATTTTTTTTTACATTGGGAAAAAATGTAAAACTTTTGCAACTTTTTAAAATTCATTTGGAATACAAATTGTTGCAATTGGAAACAAATATTTAATTTTATTTACAGTTTTATTATTTAATTTTTTCTTTCTACATTTTTCTTTAAATTTTTTCAGTTTTATCAATTTTTTTTTTTAGAGTTAAGGGCATTTTAATCTTCGACTTGTTAACACCCACTTTCCTTTCCAGTTTTTATTAGCCCTGCTTTCTGCTGCAATTTCAATTTAGTCTTTGTTTTGTTCTGTTCTGTTGTGCTTTGTTTTTATTTTTGCCGTTTGTCATGGTTGATGTTGCTGTTGCGCTCTATGTTGCTGCTGTTGCTGCTCGTTGCAATGTTGCTGCTGTTGTAGCATTTGTTTGACAAGCACCACGTACAACATGCTCGTTTGGCGAGAGGCGAGGGGTATGCGGGGTATATGAGTTGGCTACAAAATTAAAAATGATATGGAATCAACAGCGGGCATGAGGATGGGGAGCTGTGGAAATTGGCAAGCAAAAGATGCACTCGACCATGTTAACCAAGGGCCGAGAACCCGGGAAACAAGCCGGTCGAGTGGAGAGGCTAAAAAAAAAGTAAGAGAAAAAATAGGTAAACTTTATGACATGTACACACCGAGGAGTTCGAGGCGGGAAATGGAAACAATTAAGGGGACTGGGTAGGACGAAATGAGATTTAAGGAAGAGCATTAAGAAAATCCCAGGATACGAGGCAACAGGTAGTTGAGTTAACTATAAAATTCAACTGGCTTAAAGTAGAACTCCTTTCGCATAACGGTGCTAACCTTTTGGGCAACCTTAAAATAGGTTGTTCTCCTCGTTTCCATTTAACCTCTTGGCTTTTCGCAACGATCGTGAAAAATTCATATATATATATTCTTTTTTTTAATAATTTTTTCATAGTTTTCCTTCTCGTCTACCGTTTGGCTGACGTTCGTTAGTTGATGTCCGACCCTCTGTGGCCAAGTCTCACTCTCCTTTGTCATTTATGCAGTCAGCAATATGACAAATGCAACTCGATGCAACGACCGCAGCAGAGGTAGCAATAAAAAAGAAGAAAAATATATAAAAAGGAGTACCTGAAAAAAAAGAAGAAAAAAGCTGGAAAATAACAACGGGTGAATCATTTTACCTTTTTATTTTTTTTTGTACCCCATGCTATATTGTGCATTCTTCAAGCATTTTCTTTTGCAGCTTTTTGTTCGCTTATTTGTTTTTTATGACATTTTATTATGACGTCAATGGGGGAAGCGTTTAATTGACAGTTGCTGTGGGTCCTTCCCTTTTCCCTCCTGCGGTTGCCTTTTTTCCGCTTCCGCTCCTGATTCTTCTATTTTTACCATTATTGTTTTAAACTTTCATTTCTAACTTTATGGAAATGTCTTGCACAGAAATGCAATGCAGGGGGGGGTCTGTGAAAAAGGGTAGGGTATTGCGCACTTTTAATATATGGAATTGACAGTTTTATTGCTGTTCAATATGTGGAAAGTAATGTTGCTGACGTTGGTTGCACTTTGGTTGTTTTTTTGACTGCAGCTTTGTTTCTGACATGATGTAGGTGAATTTTAAGTTGTAGTATTTATATTGTTGATTTTTTTCAGGTGTTTTTGTTTTGTGTGTTGGTGGTGATATTTCTAAATTATTTTGAGTAATTGCTGGTTTTTTATTTGTTGTTACTGTTTTATTCAATGTTGGTGAAGTTGTTGAAATTTTTGTATTGATGTTTATATAGTGAATTCTGCTTTCTGGTGAATTTAATGTTAATAATTCTTATGTAATTGGAGTAATTGTTTATATTTCAGATGTTTGTACTACTTTACAGGTGTTTTTTTGAATGTTGGTGAAATTGTTGAATTTATATAGAGGTGTAATTATAGTTGTTATTTAATTTTTATCATTTTCAATCATGTTTCTCTGACTATTTCTGCTGCCGACAGAATTCTTGTTGTTTTAGTTCCTGTTGTTCGGTGTGTTGTGTTGTCTGTGGTTCCTGTTTCTGTTACTGTTACTGTATTTATATCAACTCAAGTTGCTCAAGCTCCTCCTTCTGCTGCTGCCTCTGCTTCCGCTGTGGCTGCAACAATTGCATCAAGCGACGTTGCTCTGGTGACTGTATGTAGTTGCAATTGCGGCTGACATATCCCATTACAGTTTCCGTTACTGGTTTTCTTGGCTCAAAGCAGGGAGGTAATGTTTTTCAACGACAGCTGTGTGCCAAGCATAACATGCCAAAGGAAAATACTAGGCTATCTTCTAACTACTTATATGTATATGATTTTTACTGCCAATAACTGCAAGTCTTTAGCTAATAAATATATATATATTCTCTGTTTCTCTTGCAGCTACACAAACTGGTGGAAACTTTTCCCCACAGCAACTGTCATTGTCTTTTGGCATTGGGCAACATTTTAATTGAAAAAGTTTCTGGCGAGAGCAGCGAAGAGAAGAGATGACTGTGAAATTGGCCAAGCTGTTTGGGTCTGGAGTCGAGGTCCTGGACCAGCAGCAGCAGCAACAGGAGCAACATATCCAGCAGCAACAGCAACAACCGCTGGTAGCACAGCAGCAGCAACCGCCGCCTCTGCCGCCTCCAAATGCGAATATGAAGAGCCTCAAGTATTACGAGCATCTGCAGGCCACCTACGACTGCCATCTGATGGATCACGACCAGGATCAGGATCAGGATCAGGACGACTACGAGGACACCTGCATGCAGCGCAATCATCCGTACAACAATTCACAGCGACCCCTGCTGGGGGATCGGCGACCCCAGCTGACGGTGATGAGTGTGGTGAAAAAGGGGGGTGGTGGCGGCGGTGGCAAGTCGGGGGTGCCACTGCCCCCTCTGCCGCCCCTGAGGAGCTACATCTCACCCTATGTGCAGCAACAGAAGCGGGACAGTGCCAAGGGGCTGCACGGGTTCAACGATTTCGATGCCCTTTCGCAGCAGTATAATCAGCATTTGCAGAGCAGTCCGCACATCGGCTATCCCTACGGCAGTCCCCCCTCGCCGACGGCTCAGTCGAGTGACTTCTGCTTCGATCGACAGACGACGGGATTGGTCAGGGGAACCTCCGCCTCGGTGGGCAATCAGCATCAGGTCATCTCGAGCAGCTCGAGCAACTGCAGCAGCTCGCACACCACATCCACCTCCTCGCCCACCCGTTATTATCCGGATAATTCGGGGAATATCGCCAGCCTGTATCCTAGCCGTTTCGAGGATGATTTTTGCATGCGTCGTCCTGTCGTCCAGTTGGATGGGTCGCCAGGAGGAGGAGGTGGAGTGGGAGTAGCAGGTGGACCCTTCATCTTTGGCATTGCCCCGGAGGAACAGTTGACGGACTATGGAAGCAATCCACTGCCACCGACGCCGCCGCAGCTGAAGCAACAACAATCTGTGATTAGCCGAAGTCCCTTGGTGAGTTAACATTTCCTAACTTGTTTAGTTAAAAAAATTAATATTTATATGAAGAAATCTTTTGTTATACCTTTTAGAAACCAATAAAAATAATTTTTAAATTTAATGTCTTGCAACCATAAAGTTATATGTCTAAAAAGATTTATTTAAATAATTTTAATATTTATTTTTGTATATATATTCTGGTTTTGAAGCAATTTTAAATGGCCACCAACCATACATATGTATATAAATAAATAAAAAAAATAAATAAAAATTTTTAATAGTTTTAGTTAGATCATGAATCTCTTGATTTAGTTATTCTGATTCCTAAATACAGATAAAGAAAAGAGTCAGAACCAACTTGATTAACCTGTATATTTTCATTGAATGGAAATTGTATTTCTCGATTTCTCTCCCTACAAAAATCCATATAAAAATGATTCATAATTTTTATCATTTTTTTTGTTGTATCAGTGTATTTACTAAAGATTCCTAGGTAGTCGTCTGCAATCCAACAGCAGCAACAAATTTTCAAACTGGACGGCTGTGTGAAAAAGTCTTGGCTAGAAAAAAAAACCTATTTCTTTGTTGACTTTCGTGTATTTTTTCTCACACACTAAAGTGGGTTGGATGGGTTAGTTAGTTGGGTTGCTAGGAAGGTGCTATGAGAATTTCACAGCATGCAAACCGTTTGGAAGGGAGCCAGAAACTTAAACAATCGATTGTTGTTCTCTTCTTCATTACTGTTTTTTTAAGTTTATTTTTATCCCTGCACTTTTCCGTTTTGATGGCTTAAGAATTTACCGTTGTTGCTGCTGATGGCGTGGGTGTTGCTGTTGGTGTTGCAACAACTACTGCTTTCAGCTTTCAGCACTTCGCATTGGGACGTCTGTCTATTTTGATAATGGCCAAAGAAGATGCTGCTCCTCAGTTCACCTGGATGGTCAGTGGGGGGGTTTCCATTCTCAGTTTAAGCAGACGGCGGGAAAACAATCCTCCCATTACAGCAACGCCCACACGAAGACAAAGCCCGTCAATGTCTGAGCCTGTGTCTGGTTGAGCTTTTCATTTCAACAGCCAGCAGGAGGAAATTCAGGACCTTTCAGCAACGACGACCCTTTACTATACAGTCCACCCATTTCCCACCCACTTTACCACCCCCCTTTTGCGTTGCACAACCATCTTGGCCAATTAAAGCCAAGCAAATTAAAATGTTGCACAAATAAAATGTAAGAACCTTTTCGCGTCGCTCGCTCTCTTTATTTCCCCAGCAGAAACGAAAAAGGAATCCTTTGCAGGATTAAAGCACATTTCGTAAATTAATAATGAAATTAATTCATGAATAGCAAGTGTGAGCGAATGTAGCAAAGGAGAGAGAGCGGCCAAAAATCGCTCAATTAAAGGATGAAATGGGATCGTAAGGGAAATGAGGAGAAACTACAGGATGTGAGGATATATAAGGTGGCAGTGCGAAGGAAATGCAGAAAATAAAGGCAGTTGTTAATTTGCTTAATTGTACCGAAATACGGGGAAAATATAAAGATTTAAATTTAACAATAAATTTGGTAATAAATAAAAATTATATAAATAAAATTAGCTTTACTATACAGAAATAAATCGAAAATATAACGATTTCAATTTTAGAATAGTTTTGGTAGTAAATACAAAAAATCTTCGTCAACTATCTTAATTACACTGAAATAAGTCAAAAGTATAAACATTTTAATTTAAAAATAAATTCAGTTAAACATAAATATAAAAGAGTAAAAAGGGGAAAAATCTTTCCGAAGGAATTTAAATCTTTGCCATGAAAATCGCCTTGCCTGTAATGAGATAAAATTGGTCGAATGTGCCTGGGCCCAGTTAAAAAGCAAATTACGCTAATGAAATGCTTTAACCCTGATGTGAATGCACTTTACACCACTCCAAACTCGCAGGCAGACCAGTTTTCCGCCACTTTTCCACACTTTTCCCCAAACCCCCTCCCCTCGAGAACCGCAAAAGTCGCCAAATGTGATGGTCGGTGGGAAAAGAGGGGTAACCACAAAAGTAGAAACTGAAACGAAGGAAAAAGAAAATTTCGTAATTACACTTAAGTTGGTTAATTGTCGGACAGATATTCCGCTTCTTCTGCTTCTGCTGCAACTTTTTCGCTTTTCCGCCCCTTTGCGAAAATCATTTTTATGGCCATACTAATTATACAAATTTAATGGGATTTATTTTACTCGAAATGGGGTGGGCATAAAAAAATTAATGAATATATTATGGTGCAGCTGTATTATTTTCTTGATTTTTTTAAAGGGTCTATGATATTTTGTTTCGTTTTGTTTTTTTTCTTTCTTAGTTTTAGTTTTTGTTTTTATTTTTTGGGGCAAAAGGTACTTTAGCTAGTATCCCGATAGGACAGAGAGAAATAAGCAGAGAAATGGGCTGAGATTGTTGGTGAAAGCTAAGTGCATGTTGGATACTACAGATACATGCAATCTCCGTGTTAATTACGCCGCTTTCCCAGATTATTCTTGCAAATAAACTGGGGGATTAACATAAAATATATACATACAAGATCTACACATATAACAGAGATGACTTCAAGTAACAATTGTGATTTTTGTAAGGACACAATTGAGGTTTTTCGGTCAGCTCCACTCAATATATACCATATATGTGCTATATAAAGCCTACAAGGTTGCGGTCTAAAAAAGCGAGCAACATCGAACAACTTTTGTTGCTGTTCGTTCTATAACATCGAATCAAATTGAATTGCGAAAAATCGTCTTCGATTACACGGCCACAGACCAGACCATATATGCATATATGTCGAGATATATATACCCAAACATACACATATCGTATTGGAAAAAATCACAAAGTCAGAGAAAGGGGAGTGGGACAGTGAGAATCATTTTGTTTTGGCATTACAAGCTCAATGGGCATTTGATAAGTAGCGCAATATCGATTACACTGGCCAACAAAAGAGAGGTGAATCAGCGATTTTGTGAGTCACAATTGAAACGGGAAAGAAATTGCAAAACCTTTTATAAGGATGAATAATAATATTTTTTTTAAATTAATTAATTTAAAATATTTTTTTGTATTATTATTAAATGAAATATTATTTTTTATTTTAAATATCTGTAGCTCAGTGTCCACTGTTGCTGATTTACCAGTTTTGCTCAGCTTGTTACGGTTACTGTTCTGATTGTTGTTGCTAAGTCTGTCTTACTTATGGTCTTTTTCCCCTGATTCTTTCTTTGTTTTTGGTATAACATTGCATTGAAAATTATGCCACTTAAGATCAATTTACCTTTCAGCTAAAAAAAAAAACAGAAACAAAAGCAAAGCTGAAAACAAAAATCCAAGTTAAATTCGTTGTCTGCCGCAGCTGCAAATGTTGTCGTCTGTTGCAACTTGGATAATTGAAATCACTGTTGCTTGTGCACTGTGCGAAATAAAATGTATACAAAATTATATGGTAATTTAAAAAAAGGATATGAAACGTGTGCAAATTTTTTGTAAAGTGACACAAATTTAGAAATTTATTTATAGGTCATTTATTTATTTTATTTGTTATGATGAAACTTTAAATATGAATTGAATTTTAATTATATTTATTATTTGTTTTATTATATGGTAAATTAATTTCAATATGTTTTACTAGACACACATTTTTTCTACTAGATCTTGTATACTTTTAAGCTTATTTGTTCTGTGTAGAGTGGTTGTTACTACCATAGACCATAGTTGTTGCCACATAGTTAAGTTGTTTTGGCCCGCGTCGTCGGACTGTCTGACAAAGTTAAAGCTGCAAATCGGTGGTGTAGATGGGGGTGTTTTGGTGGCGGAAAAGGGGAGGGGAGGGGGCAGTGCTGGTGGTGGACAGGTAAAACGCAACCTGGCGCGACCAACTGGCTGGCCAAAAGCCGAGCTGCTCTCTGACCAACCGAGCCGGTTTCAGCGACCATGAGACAACAAATGCACACGGACACACAACATAAACACACTGGGACACTTGGACACTCGGACATTCGGACACCACTTAATGCCGCATCTGGACCAATAGCACCACCCCTTAACCCCACCATAACCGTCCCTTAACCTCCACCATCGCCTGTTGCATTATTTGATTAAAAAGTTTGCCCCGAAACCCCACAACACGGAGTTTACTTTTAGTTTTATGGCCGTCTTCATCTTGGTTTATTTTTTCTTTCTTCGGTTTGGAAAGTTGAAGGTGTCTTTGAAACGTAACTTGAGTTTCCGGATTGATACGATTCCATTTGGGCAATATCTTAATGCCGTGAGCTTCGTTTGTCCCCGGGAGTGGGTTTAATTAACTTGATGGGCTGGCATAAATGCAAAGATGCATCTGCATGCCATCTATCTATCTATCAACCTCTCGCTGGAAGGACCGGGGGATATATACTATAGCATATGGATGGGTATGGGTATATATATCCAGCTCTTCTGGGTGCTGCGGCGAGACATCTGCCACAAGAGCGGGTTGCTTGTTGGCTGTGGCATTCAGTTGCCGGTTAAGTGCGAAATTGGGGTCGTCATCTTCAGAGTTGCACAGCGCAAGAGATGGGTATCATATATATATATGTGTAGATGGATCCGTATGTTTGTACATATATTTATGTGGACAGTGGGGGCTGGGATTATAGTTTGTCCGAACTTTAGATAAAAAGATTAAAGATATTACTGTAAGATAATGACTATAAGATATTTTTATAAGGATTTTCACATGGCGAAGTATTTCTTTTCCACCTAATAAAAGTATAAAGAACAGTATAACTTTTAAAATAGAAAGACCTATTTATTTATTTAATTTTAAAAATAGTAAAATTTAAAATTCATTAAAAAAATATTTATAAAATTAGCCTTAGACTTTTTTAGTTAAATGAATATAAAATATAATTCAATAAAAAATCCTACAAATAATAGGTTCTTATAGTATAGTGAAAGTTATTATTGCATTGTTGAATTTAACTTAGCTTTTTAATCCCAGTTGCTATTTCTGC